CTCCTCTTCTGTCCCTCCCGTGCCTCCCTGCCCGGCGTGCCTCGAAGAGTTTGGGACCAAGGAGCGCAGAATGGATCTCGGAACAGGTACCGGCCGGTGGGAACCCGCGGGAGGCTCTTTCACTTTTCTTTCGGTTCTTTTACGGAAGTTCTTATTTTTAGTCCAATGAGCTCGCGGCGGAGCAGGGTGCCGGGCCGGGCAGAGGGTCGGTGCCGCCGCCCCTGCGCTCGCTGCTCTGTGGATGGCGAGATGGTTATTATTTGTTACTTGCTTAGTGACTGTGACTAATTTAATGCTTGTCATTGTGAAAGAACTGAGAGGACAGAGAGATGGGGGGCACCCGGGGAGGTGGTTTAGGGGGTTTTTGTGGGGGTTTTTGTTCTCCATGTTTTTGTATGGCTCCGTGTTTTTTCTGTGTTTTTAAAATATACATATACTTTTCCCCCCCCTCTGTAAAGAGCTCTGTGTGTCTGGCTATGGGGTGTGTGTTTTTATTTTTTTAGTGGGGGGTGGTTTAGTTTTTGAAAGCAGCGTCCTGTTGGGAAAGGTGGTTAGTCTGGTTTCGGGGTGACTGTCTCAAGGTAAAGGAATTTAATTTATTTGGGACAAGGCTGTGTCGGATGATCAAGCTGCTTATTATGGCTAATGAGTGTTTTTCACCTGAGAATCTGTGGGCTGAGGCTGCTGTTATCAGTTCAAAGTGAGGGGCCCAGGACTCTCTCCTGGCCCCCTTTTTAGTCCCTGCCCTGGAGGTGTTGTTGGACCAGACTAACTTTGGGTATCTGGGTCTGGGGGCCTGGGATGGGATGCATGTCAGGCTCCACATAGCTGCTGGCCTGGGATAGAGTTTATCCTGGGAATTGGGCGTCTTACTAGTTTTAGTCTGATTGTGTTCAATAGTTCTCTTCACATCCTGGCTCCCAACTTGAGCTGAGTAAGGGACTGCCTCAAACTCTTCTGGCTCCCTCCAGCCCTGCTATGGAAACCAGGTTTTATCAGGACCCTCACATCCTAGGTCTTTAGAGCAGCTCGCTTCTCCCTAAATGTCTGGAAAGAAACAGGTTGCTAACTCACTGGGGACTGATCTCTGAACCCTTCAGTTACATTTATGGAAGGAAAGGTGGCTTTGGTGGCTGTTAGGGTTGTTAAACTTGTAGTCCATGAGAGGCCCAAGTTCATGGGTCCCTTGGGACCCAGGAGTTAACATCTGACCCTCTGAGGTCAAGGGGTGAGGGTGTGCTGAGAGAGCAAGAGGTGACATTTGTGAGTGGCATGGTGGCTGGCTTTAAAGGTAGTGTGTTGTGGGGGAGGGAGTTTTTCACAGTTTTTAGGCTGTTCCCAAAGGTGTGATCTTGGCTAAGGTAACTTGGAGGCCTCCTGGATCTCTTTGCCCAGGAAGGTGAGACGCCCCCTGCTGGGCAAAGTGATGAAGGTATCCAGAGGCTGCCACCCTGCCCCTCCCAGCCCTCTCCGCCCACAGAGAACCAGCCCGCCCACCTCTAATCAGGTGTCTCATCGCTGAGCTCTCAGGTCCCACCCCCTTTCTTGGGAAATGGGGCCCCCACCCAGCCCAGCCAAGGACCAGCCCTCAGAGATGGGCCAGGCATAGTGACCACCTCCTACCTGGCCCAGGCCAGCCTCTGTCCGTGGGTGGGCATATGATACCCAGGCATTAATCAGCTGGAAGGCAGGCCTTCCTGTCTTCCTCCTTCTAACCCAGGTGCCAGCTGGAGCTGGCGTCCATCCTCTGCCATGCCAGTCCTTCCTGGGCTGCTGTGGGAGCACTGCTCTACAGCCCTTCTGGGGGTTTCCCGATAGCCTGGCAGGAGGCAAGTGACAGGACCTCCCATGGTCTCCTTAGGGAGACTTCTGGCACTCCAGGGACAAGCTCTGGAAACTTTTCCTAGAAGCCAGAAGGGCCCCAGAGGTCAGCTAGAGAGAGACACTCCCAGTGGGACGCGGGCCTGGACTCTGGACACTCAGAGAGGGAGGTCCAGGGTGTCAAAGTTCTGACTATTTCCTGGAGGAGTCATCTGGCAATACCAACTCAGTCTTTTTCTCTGAACTTGGAAGTTTCACTTAATCTCAGAACTTCTGAAGAAAAGGACTTTTTCCTCACTTCACCAAAAAAAAAAAAAAAAAAAAAAAAAAAAAAGGGAAGGAGAGACTGGTCCCTTCTGGGCCTGTCTCTCAACCTCTGGAAGGTGCAAGGGACACAGGGTTCGTTGCTGGAAGGATGCTGGGCTCTCTTCCTTTGTGGGTAGCTGGGGAACTTTAACCAAGGGCCTCTTAGCACAGTGTAGGGCTGGTGATGCCGCCGCTGGGACCCAAAAGAGTTGCCAGCACACGTACTGGATCATGGGTTAACATCCCCTCCAACCTGGACACATCTAGTCCTGAACACTCAGGCCATAACTAATCCAGTGGCAATTGAGTGGAGTCTTCTCAGGTGGGGACAGCAGGATCTCAAGACCCTCAAAGTGGCCATGTGGACCCCTTCTCCCCTACCATAGATCAGCCAAGGGCTGGATCAATCTGGACGTCTTTAGCAATAAAAAATGCCGATGTCGTCCTAATTCACCAGGCCCCGAGATGACAGCAAATTTACATTTTTTAATTAAACTAGCAGCCAGTTTTTATGAGAGGGGGTTGGGTTATGCAAATCAAATGGTTGTGTACGGAAGATTAGGAGAGTTTGGGAATAAATTCCACAAATGCTAATAAAAAAAGAGGAAAGAGAGAGAGAGGGAGGGAGGGAGGAGAGAGGAAGAGAGGAGGACATAGTTCCATTAGGCCCTTTTAGAGTGATTTCCCTGGGGCGGGGAGGGGGAGGGAGCGGGGAGGAAGCTTTCAGACACAGGTAAATCCATCCCCGCAGTTGGGAAGCTCCCCAGGATTAGGCCCTGCCAGGCTGATTCCTGGGCCTGAACACAGATGGGAGTGGGGGTGAAAATGGCAGTGAAACCACAGTAGATCTTTGAGAAGTCTTTGAGTAATGCTCTTCTACCCTCAGGGGGAACTAGAGAAGGGGAGGGCTATCCAGTAGAGGGCCCAAGGTAGGCTCCGCTGGGTTGAGGGCCAAATAGGCAAGAGGGCAAGTTCAAAGGGATAGCCATAGAGCCATCTGGTAAGGAGTTCATGGGGAGCTGGAGAGGGGCAGCACTGCCCACCCGGTACTGTGGCTGAAACCATGTCATCCAGACACGTCACTGGGAGAACTCAGGGTTCTTCTCTGATTAGACCTGTTTCTTTTTCCTTCTCGGTCCCAGGCTGGGACCCTCTAGCATTGTAGACAGACCCCCCACCACCACATCACTGCATAGTGACCCAGCCTTCAACTGGGGGTGAGAGGCAAAAGGGGTGGAGAGTACAGAGCCAGGTGGGCTCATCAGCCTGGTTCATAGGGTGGAATTTCTTAGTAGCCACAGGCTTTAAGGGCACCTGGTCTGCAGGGGGTGGGAGAAGAAAGACTGCAAACTTCCCCCAGGTGATGTCTGACCCCAGAGAGCAAAGAACTTAGCCTTCAGATTCACAGAACTTACTTGCGCCACCAGTTCGTGGCCAGGCCTTGCTGTGAGTGGAGACTTCATAGAACTTTGCTAGCTCCAGTGATGCCATCAACCCACCCCACAGCTGTGATTGGGAAGGGTCTTGTGCTGTCTCTGGAGGAAGGTTTTGTGCTGGGTTTGAGGTAGACCAGATTGCCCTTGATCTTCTTCCAGCCTGTACTTGGCCAGATACACCCACTCAACCAGTCTAAGCTGGGGCCAGCACCTACAGCCAGGCTGGGCACCGGTTTTGCCAGTCTGCTGTAGAGGGTAGATGCTCTGGTGCCATCTTGGCAGGAAGGAGCCGCCAGAGCCAAGGATGGAATGGGCTGTCTTGGGTCGCGAGTTTCCTGGTACCTTTCAGACAGCCTGGCTGTGCACTGGGCAGTGATGTCAAGGAGAAGGACCTTTCAGGGCTTTGTCTCCCTGACACCCAGCTTGGTTTTGGCTTGTGGGAAGGGGTCAAATGGGCAGGGTGAGAATCATTTGCACCTTCTTGATAGAAAGTGTTTGAGACAGGCAGCTCTGGGCTGTGAGGTGGCCTTGGCCTCGACCAGCCTGGACACTGGGTATAAGACAGGCACAATACAGGACAGTAGAGCCATTCTCCCTCAGGAGGTAAGGCAGGGAAGGCAGGTCTGGAACGGGCCCTGGGAGACCCCAACTTGGGCCCCTGTTCTCCAGTGAGGGCCAACCCGGGGGACCCACCAAATCTGCTCCCCAGGAGAGGCACAAATCAGTCAGCCCTCTCCCAGCCCTCCTCAGCACCGCCGATCTTCCCTTCCCCCATAGCCAGGGAATCTGGCTGAGTTGCAGCTTGGGTTTTTATGATGGAAAAATAAAATAAATGGAGGCTCCTTTGGAGGGCTGAGTCACAGCAGCAACATCTCCTCATTAAAGCTGTTGCCCCTGGCTCAAATCCCTGCCCACTTCCCTGGGCAGGGGACTGGGTGGGGCTCTGGAAGCCTCTTGGCTCTGAATGTTCTTCTCCTTGGCCCCTGCCAGGGGCATCCTCACCCTCTGCCAGCTTCCCTGGGCTAGCTTGCTGTTAGAGGGGCCCCAAGGATTGTCACCTAACTCTGCCCTCCCTGTGCTCATTTTTAAACCTTGACCACTCTGGTTGCTGCTGCTTCTTCCTCCCCTCTCCTACTCCTCCTCCTCCTCTTCTTCCTCCCCTTCTTCCTCCTCCTCTTCCTCTTTTTCCTTCTCCCAGTCCTCATCTTCAGAGACCGAAGGAAGTTGCTCTGTAGCAATGTTCCTCTATGGGTTCCCAAGGTGAACAGTAGCCAGGCCAGGGTCCATCGAGAGTAGGAAGGAGTTGAGGAGGAGCAAGGCCATAGGCCTGTGTGGAAGGAGGAAGGACTGGCTCATTGGGATGGCTTTGGAAGGTGGCAGCCTGGTGATCAGCCCCTCACACCTCAGGCGCTGTAGGGGAAGAGTCCCTGGGCAGATTGGTGGACTACAAGTCAGCAGCCCCTGGGGAGCTCCTGTGGAGAAGATGCCAAAATACAGGCTGCCTGGTTCCCAACCCCCAGGTT